ATCTTGGAGGATGCCAATAACTAAGAGACAGCATTTTTCTGTTGTTGGGGGAGGTCATCAAGAGACCCCCAGTTGACCAGCGAACTGGGCCCAGGCAATTGAAAGCTTCTCAGCCCCTCCCCTGTCCTTGGAATGTTTGCTCTGCCCACCATTCCCACAGTGGGAGCTGCTTTCAAGGACACAGCCTTGAGAGTCAGGCATTGCTGAGAATATCTAAGTGGTATATGCGACTGAATCTAGTTCAGGCCTCTGTATAAACTTTGAAGACCCTGGCATTTGATGCAGAGGTGTACTCATCTTGTGGCTTCCAAGACAAGCCCCTTTAGGAAGTTCCCTTGCTTGTGAAAGCTGCCACCTCCCAATCTGGAGGGGTCTGCCTCTTTCCCAGGTCTCTGCTGGCCCTCTGTACAGGTGCCAGTCTGCAAACCAACAGGTGTCCCCAGGGGGTAGGCAGGGCAAAGGTCTGTGCATACTGCAGAGAGAGCTCTGGACTGTGGGATATCAGGGGACATGGCATTGAAATGTCCCACTAAGTTCTCTGGACAGGCTGCATTTTTATGGAGGGAAAGGAATCAACATGTGCCGTGAGCCAATATCTCGTTTCATTTGTGAAGTTATTCTGCCCATTTTACAGACAAGGGGACTGAGGCTTCAAAAGGTAAGTAAATTGCTCACGACCCCACTGCAGATGTGGGAATGAGCTTCTGGGAGGAGTCCAGCGTCACTGAATCATGCTACTGTCCGTGCTGTGGTCAAGGGTTTAGGTGCTGGAGCCAGATGGCTATGAGTTTAAGTCCTGGATCTACCACATGCTAGCTCTGTTACTGGAAGCATGCTGTGTACCTTGTCTAACCTTGATTCACTCATCTATAAAATGGGGATAGTGAAAGTACCTACTCATAAGGCTGATGGGAGAATCTGATGAGTGAAAATGTGTGAAGCACTGAGTGTCTAAGCACAGCTCAGTAGCTAGAGCTGCCACTATGAACGCCCTCATTATTATTACTACTATTGTCAGAAGGGGAGCTAGGTGACATGGAGTTACCCCTGTGGACTTGTGACCTTTGTCTGGTCCCCATGCCCCCACTCCATCCCCATGCAAAATGGCAGGTGTGCAGTCATGAACCAGGGTTTAAATGTGAGGGCAGGTGAGCAGTGCAAGGGTTAAGATCCACCTGCTGGGGTCCAGCTAGGACCCGTGGACAAGGAGAGGACTCTCCCAGTGGGCTTCAGAGCCTTTCCCCCAAGACGGGTGGGGGGATGCTCTGATAGGGTTACTTACAACCTATTCAGCGTCTCCGGTGTATCAAGTTCTCTACTAGCCTGTGAAGATATAATGCTCAATAAGACATGTTCCCATGAGCTCTGGTGGGAATATCTATTTTGCAGACATATTTTGCTGGATCCGTTTCCTCCTTGGGGAAGCAGAAACACCAGATGACTCCTGTGGTCCCTTACAGACCTATCCCTGAGTGGTCCTGCAAACAATCACTCTTCCAGCTTCTGTCTCAGAGAAGAACTTTTGGTCTTCTGGAGACCTGGAAACTTCTGCTCCTTCTTCAGGTTAAGTGTATTTTTCTGTGAGTTTTGAGGAATGAGGGTCATCTCCAGATAAAGCCAGTTGTCCTTGGAGGATGAACTTCCCTCCCCCATTCATCCATCCGCCCTCTTTCTTGAACAAATGACTCCTACATCTATATCTCTCTATAATACCTGCCAACCAAACTCCAAAACCAAATTGCCAACCACCTCTAAGGCAGCTGTTGACTTTACTGACCATAACAGAGCATGTACTGTGGGTCAGGTCATGGTAATAAACATCAGGAAGGACTGAAAGAGGAATTGAGCTATGTTCTTTTATCCACAGAGCTGAAAGTGGACGAGCAGGACTGCTGTGCACACATTTGGCACAAGGGAATAGATCTGTGATGGAGCCAGGTGGATGCAGGGGACCTCCAGTGGACTTAGCATGAAGGTTCCCATCCCAGTGCTGAGGCTGACATTAAAATATTCTATGGCTGTCTCCAAATATAGCCAACTCTACTCCTCAAGAGAGACACTTTTAGTGTGCCAATAACTATGTCAAAATTTACCTGCATTGTTTCAGTTAATGAGAGTTTCTCAACTTGGGCACCGTTAACATCTTGGGCTAGATAATTCTGTATCATGGGGGTGCTGTCCTATGCATCGTAGGATAATGACCTTCATCCCTGACCTCCACCCACCAGATGCCAGCAGCATCCCACCCCCACCAATAACATCTCCAGACTCCTAGAGACAGAATCACTCCCAGTTAAGAACCACTGAGTGCATCTTAATATAGACCAGGGAGGTGGGTGCTATTATCATCTTCACTGTATAGCTGTTCCATCTCTAAACTGAAGCATAGCAATGTTGTATCATGTGTCCAGAGTTGCACTGCCAGGAAGAGCCGGGAGCCAGCCAGTTGTCTCCCACAGACCATGCATCTACTGTCTTTACGGCATTGCCTATCACTGCATGCATGGTGCTGAGGACTCAGTGATACGCGATTACCCCACGCAAAGATGGACCATTTGTCACGACCACCCCTTGTGTTACTACTGCATTACACTACCTTTATTTCTATGAGTCACACAACAACCCTTCCTTGTAGGTCTCTCTCCCATTTACAAATGAGCATGATGAGACCCGGATTAACGGGGGGATTGCCCCGGGTCACAGAGCAGGCAAGCCACAAGAGTCTAGAATTTGGGCCCACATCTTGTCATTCTATGCCCTCCACTACTCAGACAGTGGAATAAACACCAATTAAACTATGGGAGACAGGCAAGGGACTTAATAAAAAAATAAATGCAAATCCTGGATGATGGATATATTTAGGAGATAAGTTATTATGTGATGGTATAAAAATAGATCAAGGGAAAGCACATGAAATTACAAGCCTGGCTATGTGAAAGATGGGGAAGGTGCATGGAGAGCGTTGGGTACATTTAATTAACTTTGCTGGGAAAACATTCTGAGGTTGCCACCTGAAACCAAAACATCCAGTCTTCACTCAAAGTAACGATACCAGCGGTCCTATAAGGAGGAGTTATAATCCAATAGAGCTTGAAGTCGTTGATTAAAACAATGCCAGTGCCTAACCCCCTTGAGGGGCAATCCCAATTCTAAAGGAACCACCTACTATTTGTACATCAAATGGGTTCTTTGGGCTGCATACCGCTGACGTTGAAATGTCTCACTAAGTTCTCCACACAGACCAACATCCCAATTGGTCCTGTGAGGTTATTCTGCCCATTTTACAGAAAAGGAGACTGAGGCTTCAAAGGTAAGTAAATTGCCCACGACCCCACTGCAGGTGTGGGAATGAGCTTCTGTAAGGGTCCAGGGTCACTGAATCACGCTGCTGTCCATGCACCTCATGAGGCTGTGAGGGCTGTGGTCAAGGGTTCAGGTGCTGGAGCCAGATGGCTGTGAGTTTAAGTCCTAATCTACCACACGCTAGCTCTGTTACTGGAAGCATGCTGTGTACCTTGTCTAACCTTGATTTGCTCATCTCTAAAAGGGGATAGTGAAAGTACCTCCTCATAGGGCTGATGGGAGAATCTGATGATTTAAAATGTATGAAGCACTGGGTGTCTAAGCACAGCTCAGTAGCTAGAGCTGCCACTATGAACGCCCTCATTATTATTACTACTATTGTCAGAAGGGGAGCTAGGTGACATGGAGTCACCCCTGTGGGCTTGTGACCTTTGTCTGGTCCCCATGCCCCCACTCCATCCCCATGCAAAATGGCAGGTGTGCAGTCATGAACCAGGGTTTAAATGTGAGGACAGGTGAGCAGTGCAAGGGTTAATATCCACCTGCTGGGGTCCAGCTAGGACCTGTGGACAAGGAGAGGACTCTCCCAGGGGGTTCAGGGTCTTTCCCCCAAGACGGGTGGGGGGACGTTCTGATAGGGTCACTTACCCCCAATGATGCATTGTTTGCAGGCCCTCCCTACTCTGACACTGCTATGATTCAGAGGCCCCCCCTCTTTTGTGGGAACACAGAGCGCAAGGATCTACACTTTAAACCTGTGTCTATTTAAGCCCTGGAAAGAGCCTCTTAAAGGAATTTCTTTTGCTTGCAGGAGAAACAGTGTTCAGGCCCTCACTGGTCTTCAACTGTTTTCACATCCGTTTTCACCTTGACATTCAGCAGCCCACAGGCGTCGGGATGTTCATCTTGAAGATGAAGCACCCAGGGAGCATGGAAGTGAACTCATTCATCCATGATTCTGATGGAATTGTGAGCATTCGGAAATGGTGTGTGGGTGTGCACTGTCAGAAGGACTCCTAAGTGGTGTTCAATGTGGTTGGAGAAATGGAAAAGGGTTGAGAGGTCTGTTTGTCTGAAAACGAAATGAGAGAACCATGAAGCAGAATTATCAACTTCCCCCATCTCGGAGTACAATCTAAAGTCCTTTCAATGTGCTGCACCTGTCCGAAGGTCACCTCCCTGATATTTCTTATACTATTTTGTTCTCTCTTATGGTGTCTGCCTCCCCAGCTAGAATATGAACTACAAGATAAGGATTTGGGGTTGCCTTATTCCCTTTCCTAGCACCAAAACCAGCTCTTAACATGTGGTTGAGACACCCTCAATGCTTGTTGAATGAATGAATGAACCTTAAAAAAACAAAACAAAACAAAACAAAACTGTTGTGCTTCTTGATTTTCCAAAAGTATCTCTGGGTCTGATAGTTTTCTATGTAAACAGAGATATCCAACCAGAAGTGGAAGAATTTCTTTAAAATTAACAAAGTCAGGCCTATAGCATCTGAATGCCCTCACTCTCAAACAGAATCATCTCATTAACCATAACCTTTTGGAGGATACAACACACGCCCTATTGAGCATTATATCCCCAAAGGCTAGCAGAGAGCTAAACACACAGAAAGGCTCAAAACCACTTAGGAATACAAAAGGTATGGCCTCAAAAAAAAAAAATAAATAAATAACCCACAAAGCTCAGCACATATTCACCCTTTATTCAAATATTCACAGATTGACTCCCTCGTACTTGGGTATAATCCACACAAGGCCATCCCGGCTACCACCCTCCTCGGGTCCAGTCTAACTAGTGCTTCTGCACAAAGGAGCTTCCAACAGTCACATTTGCTCTGATAAAAAAAAAAAAAAAAACACCACCAACAAAGAAACCTTAAGGATTGCATGCCTTGCCAAAACAGAGCAGAAATCACTAACAATTATGTAGAGACCATTACAGCAAGCCAGTTGTCTTCTAGAATTACAACTGTATTCTAGGAACTTGAGTTATACTCGAGAGAGGTCATTAGTTACTGTAAACATGGTATTGAGGGCAACGGTGTCCTTTCCAGTCTAGATGCCTTCGGTCAAGTGTGATCGCAGGAAATGAGGGTGAAAATAATGAACCTCCTGTGATTTTTGGCAGGGCTCCTTGTAAAATCACCTATATGCACTTTATGTTTCTTTCAGTTGACTAACCTAAATGTATCAATTTTTTCAGTTTCTTTCAGAGGTTCTTGTCCTCTGGTCTTTTCCCACACCCCTGCTTAATTTTTTTTTCTTGCTCCCAATCCAAACATCTTTTGACTTCCTTTCTGTCCTTTATTCCGCTCTCCCTTCACATCCCCCACGTAGGTACTGCTGGTGAGTTTTGCAGGGGTTTTCAGCACCATCATCCTCATACCAGATCCTAACTCTCAGAGAAAACCAGAGTTTCTCACTTTGTAAAGGCTTTTCCGGGCTTTGTTTCAATTAAGTCAGTATCACGAAAATCCCAGGTCTCCTCTGTCTCTCGGCCGACCCAAATAATCCCTTCCAGTACTCAGTGCTCGAGGCTGCAGCAGATGCCCAGGAGCAACCCACCTGGCTAAGGACCTGCATGGCGCTGGGAGTCAGCTCTGGGTCCAAGTACTGTCTCCACCGTCCGCTACTGTATATGGACTCTTGAATGGCTCACCTGTGAAGTGAGGATGACAATATTTACCAGATTGTGAGGAATAAATTGAAGAAGTATCTGCAGTTTCTTTCAGAGCGTGGGTTTCAATGAATGTTAATTCTATCCCCTCACCCCTCAGTCCATCCTCTCGATTCAACAAACGTGTACTGAAATCCAAGTAAATACAAAGCATCCTGCACTGTATAAGTTTTGGAACTGGTTATGATCTATTTCACCAATGTAGGGTACAATTCCAGTCACAATGGTTTTGTTGGGAAAGGAATCACTCAAGCCATTTCTCCTAACCGGCATGGAGTCCAGAATCTTCCTCCCTCTTGATGTTATTGTATTTTCCCTCCTCCTCATTATCTCTGCAGGTCCACGAGCCCCAGGGCATTATGAGTCTGTTGAAGAGCAGGGCAGATTCTTCAGACTATAAGTGCAATTGCTCCTCTCACCACAAGAGGTCACTGCTGAAGAGTGGTCTCACATAGGTCCAGAGACCCTTGCCCACCACCACCGAGGGGTGCCTGCAGGTGCTGGCCTCGCTTGTTACAGAGGGGCTCTGCACCTAGGCCAAGGTTACAGTTCTGTTAGTTCACAAACACACGTGCTCAGCCATTGTCCCTAGGTCTGTACCTCTAGGGGTACAGGGGTCGAGCTGAAAAGCTTCTAGTCTTACACACCGAGCCTCAGCCGCTCTCCCTGACCAGTCTGGGAGCTTGGTGATGGCCACCCCTCTCCAACCTGCTGATTTCTCTCATCACGTGCTCTAGGGTCGGGGTTACCTCCTGGGCCCCATTCGATCCTGCGAGCCCTTTGAAATTGGTCCACACCTCCCCAGAACCCTGCACAATGAGGAGAGGGACAGCTTCTGCTCAAGTTCCAGAAAGTTCTCCAACAACACGCACACCATCTGCTTACAACTTCCCACAGCAACATGGGTGCCTTCCGTAAGGTCTGCTCCATGCTTTCTGCTGGGTGCTCCTTCACAGAGGAGGGCTACAAGTGTTTTCCCTAAACAGTTGCAGTTGTACATGACCAAGTGCCCAGGCTTCATTTTTAAAAACACAAAACAAAACAGAGCACAGGCCTGAGGAGCTTTCACTCCAGGGAAGATGTCAATCCACTCCCAGATCACTCCAGACATAATGGAAATTCTGTACTTGATCAACCAAATCCCACCCCGTCAGGAATGCCTTAAGGGAGAGAGAGAAATCCTAGGTGCCAGGAAAAGCAAGATGATGGGCACAGAGACATATGCAGGGAACAGCCGCTTTGAGCAACCCAAGATGGTTATAGCCACCTCCACTGTCACCCGCGCCCCCGCCATCCCCTAAGAGACAGCCCTTCGTGGAGTCTCAGGGGGGATGAGGCTCATGAGCTAACTAGGCTGTGGATGGACCAGGAAGAAGGGCCGATTTCTAGATCAGTGTCCCTTTCCCCTCTTTCACACAATGTGAGTAAATGCAGAATTCAGGATTAGGGAACTGGCGCCACCCACCCTCTAGTTCTTCTCTTTGAAACACAGGGCCTAAGGCCCTTCAGCCTCAAACTGTGTTCTCTGTGCCTGCGTCCTTTCCAGGGAAATCTAGTAAAGGGCTGCTACGATCCATACGTGGAGGAAGGTGAGGGGGAGGGGCCGGTGGGCTCTGAATAAATAAAGCAGATGAGGCTTAGTAAACTGTTGAAACATGAGGAAATTGCTTCCAGCAGTTTAGAGTCTTGACTTGACTCATAATTTAACCTTGAATATAGTTTTCAAAAATCATTAAGTCCTCAAAGCCTTCATCTCTAGCAGTGATTAGCCATGATGCACTAAGCAGGAAGTTAATATATTTATGTCTAAGGAGGCATGTAATGCATGAAAAAATCTATTCACTTGGCATTCATTTCCTGACTATTTACTGACAGCTTGCTCAGTCGCAGGCACCCCGTCAAGACCTGGGAGATGTGACAGTGAACCAAATTGGCCTCCCTCCCCGCAAGGAGCTTGCTGTCCAATAACAGCAAGGGGACAAGGAATTGGCCCTTCTGGGATACCTGCTATGTGCCAGAAATTGTGCCAGGAGCTTCTGCACCCGTTAGTCCTCATGTCGACCATGCCATTTTTTCTATTTTATGTATCAGTCCACTGAGGCACAGAGAGGTTAGATATATCTAAAAATGGTTATCAGAAGATCCGGCCTTCAATCCATAGTCTAATTCCAGAATCTGTGCAATTCTTAACACTTTCTTTCTCCAAGAGCCAAGCACTTCCTTCTGTACCAAGTTCTGTTTCCTGAGTCTGCCCCATCTGTGGAATGAAATGGTGAATGCCAAGGTTGTGCCGAAGCCGGCCAGGCTATTCTTCCATATAACATGTGAAGAGGTGACTTTTCCTTTAAAATCATACTAAGGCAACCAAAGGGTTGGGATGCGAGGTCAGAACCCCCTCTGATGAGAGTAACAAGGAAACAACATGCAAACAACAGCAATAGTTACTGTAGTGTTCCCTGTGAGCAACGTATGAATGGCTGTTCATCCTCACCAAAGCCCTACCAGATAGATACAGAATCATCCTCATCTTGCAAGTATGAAAACTCAGGCACAGAGAAGTGAAGAAACCTGCCCAAAGTCACACAGCTAATGAGCGGGGGACCTGGGATTTGACTCCAGGGTCCAAGCTATTGGAATGACAGATGGTATTTCTAACAATGATGGGATAGACAGACAGACAAGGATCTGAGATACATCAACACAAGGACCTCAAGGGCTCAGCCTCCACAAGAGTTCTCAGCCCACCACTCTGGCAACGTAAGGGCAGTCCGGTCCGGGTGGGAATGTTCTGCCGAGATTGACTCCGGCTCTTCCACTAATGAGGAAGACTGGCTATCTCTCGACCTTTTTTTTCTTTTATCCAAGAACACATGGCACTGCTGGTTGCCCTTGGTGATCCAGGCACCCTGACTCCACTTACCTGGCGGAAAAGAACAGAGGCAGAACAGAAAGCTGATTCCTGGTGCTGGGTTCTCAAAACTTGCTTTCTGAATGTGCATTCCCAGTAGGACCGTGGTGGGGCTGCACCCTATCGGCTCTTGGCACCTTTCACCAGGGAGGTGGGAGTGGGTGGGAAAGAGCAAAACTTTAGTGTTACAGGGTTTTCTTCATTCCCCCCAACCCGCCTCAGTTTTTTTCTAAACTCCCCAGATAGTTGAACCTGAACTGGGTCATTGTAGATGCTCTGGAGCCAGACTCTTGCCTGCCTCACTTCCTAGCCTCTGGCCTCCAACCCTGTATGTCCTCAAAACACTGGGCCACTTCCCATACAAAATAGCTAAAACTATATACAGGGTAGCCCTATTTCACGTCAAACTCTGATACTTTTGAAATGGGAGAGGAGCACTGTTAATAGTGAGGTGGGGACAGGAGGCATAAAATGGGACTGTCCTCATCACACCTTCATCTACGGTTATCCTACTTATATAGGACCATCTACATGACAGGCATAGCTTTAAGGCCCACACATAGAGTGACTCATCAAATCCTCACAACAGGCCTAAGGAGGAGCTATTGTCATCCATGTTTTACTGGGGAAGAAACTGAAGCTCAAGGTCACACAGCTGGGAAGAAGGCATTGTACTTCACCTCTACGCAGTTCTCATTCCCTCCACATCACCCAGTCCCCAGCAAGAGAACAGGATGCCTCTCCCCTGACTCTGGCACTAGGCTTGGCCTCTGCCAAGGGGGAGGAGCCAAAGGAAGGAAAGGAGGAAGGAGAAAGATGGGCAGAGAGGAGGGAAGCCCTAAGGGCAGACACAAGCAACACAATGTTTCTAGTGCTGATCTCTAGCCCCTCTAAGCATGCTCGTACTCTCAGGATGGGCATCTGGGGCCCTGTGGTCACACAGTGAATAATGATCCTTACATTCCTGCACCTGCTTGTGGGGGTAGCCCTGCCAGAGCCCAAGGTGAAGATAAAATGGGAAGATTTACACATCTCTGCCTCCGTATCTACCTACCCCATCCAGTCGTCCTCCCATATATCCCCAAGTGATGGATCAGTGAAACCCAAGAAGCTTCCCAGTTGCCATGGAAATGGCAAGGCTGCATCTAATAGGAGGTAAGAATGGAAGAAGCAGATTCTACAGCTTCATTAGGCAACCCCTGAGCTAGTTCTCTGATTACTATTTGCATCCAGAGTCAAGGATTTCTCTGGGCAAAAGGCAGAGCCCTGAGGTTTTCAGTATCCTCAAACTGGCCGTGGTTTACCACATTTTCATCCCAGCTCTGTCCTAGGTTCACAATGCAGAGCTAGTCTGTACCCCTCTCCCAGACTGATCCCTTTTGTGAGGTAGTCATTCTGAAATATGGGGGGAAACTAGAATGGGAACAAGGAAGGGGGTTCCCCAATGGTTATACTGGGGCAGCAGTGGAGAGGGGCATGGAGGGAGAGCCCACAGGGGGGCCTGACCTGCTCATCTTTCCACAGATCTCAAAAGCAGCCATTGGGGGGGTGGGGAGACGAGCACCAGGTAAATCAAAATCATCCCACCCATGGCGGGATGGTCTTACTTACCAGGCAGACTCATCCCCTTTCTACCTAGATCCGTCAACATTAGAGGGACTTGAGGCTCTGAGGACTAGTTTACTAGGGGGTATAGGAAAGTCTAGGAGGAAGATGGAGAATCACAGACAGAACACACATTGAAAAGGACAGCACTGAGGTGGAAGCACAAATGGGGAGAATGGGGACAGGTCACGGGAATGGGCATCAGCAGGTGTGGTGCTGCCCTGGGAATCCAATTCACTGTGTCCTAGAGCAGCTTGCTCCCTTTTTCAAACCTTGCTTCCTTCATCTTTGGAGTTCTCGCCCATCTCTGAAATTTAGTGTTTTTAGGGACATAGTGACAAGGCACTGGGAGCTGAAGAATTGTCCAGAAGTCATCAGAAATGCCCACAGAAAAGCAGGGGCTAAGGCTCTGAAAGACATATTGCATGGACACCTCTTCCCATGGTTTTCTAAAGACTAGATGAGCCTCCTCCTGCACTGTGTGTTAATCCCCAGTCCTCTTATCATATATTTAAACCATTTGCCTGACCATCCAACTCTTTATTAGGTGTGTAATTGGGGAGTTGGAGGTGATGCATAAATGAGCATGCCAGTCCCCTCTCTTCATTTTTGTGATGACTTCCAGCTTCCTCCCACAGATAAGTACCCACACTGCATGCCTTTGCTCTTGGTTCATTGCCTTTCCACCTCGTTTTCTACCCCAAAGGCTTGAGGGTCAAGGCTCAGGGTCTTTGTTAAAGCCCCAACTGGAAATGGGTCCCTGTCCCTCCACCTCCGCACAATACAGGCACAAATGAGAAACAGAAACATGCAAACAGACGCATAATCCTGTGTACTGTCCAAATTTGAGTTCAGCTTGAGCTTCTGGTTCCATTCTGTCCCTTCCTCTGTTTCTGTTATAACTGCAAGAAGAAGAGGCTTCTGGCTTCTAAAGATGGTAAGAGACCTTTCATTCACTCTGCTGCCGCAGAAGCCAGCTGGAGGATCCAAAGCCAAGACTGGGTTTCTAGGCTCTCAATGACTCCTTCAAGGTAATTCTAGGCTGAGAAGGTGCCCCCTCTGCCTACAACCCTTTCTCTCATGTCTGAGGCTCACAGCTGACCAGAACACACCTCCTTTCTTCTGTTTGTTCTCCAGGATGCAGTTGCAAAAGTTTATTTGCATACATCTTCATTTATTATCTCTCCAAAGCCTTTGACCCAGAGCATACCAAGTTGGGTATCCCCATTTCACAGAGAAGACCAAGGAGGAGAGAGGTGGAGGATTTTCTTAGGATCACATAATTGATATATCATAGCTATAAGCATTTTCTTAAGTAGGCTCCACTCCCAGTGTGGAGCCCAATGCAGGGCTCAAACCCATGACCCTGAGATCAAGACCTGAGCCGAGATCAAGAGTCAGAGGCTTGGGGCGCCTTGATGGCTCAGTTGGCTAAGCGACTGCCTTCGGCTCAGGTCATGATCCTGGAGTCCCAGGATCGAGTCCCACATCAGGCTCCCTGCTCAGCAGGGAGTCTGCTTCTCCCTCTGACCCTCCTCCCTCTCATGCTCTCTCTCTATCATTCTCTCTCCCTCTCAATAAATAAATAAATAACTTAAAAAAAAAAAGAGTCAGAGGCTTAACTGATGGAGCCACCCAGGCACCCCGTAGCTATAAGCATTTTAAATGCAAGTTTGACCCCCAAACCTATGGTGTCTAGCACTCTGTTCCAGGTTTTGGGGTCCTGGTTGGTGGGTAGGAACAGGCAGGCAGTGGGGGTGGAGGTGGGAGTAGGTCAGGAGTTAAAATATACCAGAGAAAGGAATGTTGCTTACTTTATTCTGCAATGTTTGCTTGGGTCTTCATTCCTTTCTTGGCTGAAAGCATGCATTATTTATCCCTCACACACAGAATTTTTGTAGTCGTAATAAAGGTCAGAAGAGGAGAAGAGAGTTATCTAAATCCACAGCTATATTCAGGAATACTTAGAATGACATATCGAGTCTAATGGAATTCATTTGGGAACAAAATAGAGATGTGAGTTTTGGTGTTTCTTCTTTCCTTCTTCCTTTATTCTCTTCTTCCTTCCTTGTTTTTCTATAAGAAAAAAAATTACAATCAAGTTTGTACCCCTCCTGGACCTGTCCTCCTTCCTCCCTCCATTGACCCCAGTGCTATTTTCATTCATCAATCCAAGAACCTGGAGAACTATGTGACCCCAATTCTCTCTGGTATAAGCTTCCCATCTCTGATTTTTGTCACCCCCCCACCTTGGGTGTCTTCAATTTTCTCTTAAAATCCTCAAACCTAGTCATTTAAAGTAAAGCAATAAATACACACTCTTTGCAGTTTGGGGGCTCAACTTTGGGGATATCAAGGCATAAAAGCAGGCAGATGGAATTGGCCATTCCAGAAAAGATGGACATACACACACCCCACACACACTAGGCTGGTACTTGCCAGTTCTGTGATGCACTTCTGTCAGCCACAGGACGTGCCTTTATTGGTTACTGATCTTTTATCCTCCTCTGATGACAATCCCTGACTTGATTTCTGGTCATGTTCAGCCGCAGTGAGCCCTCGAGCTGGCACATCCACATGGGAGCTGGGGTACCTGCTGCTTTTACAAAAGATGCCTGAATATATGGCTCATTAGGTTTTTTTCCCCATTGCATGAGGGAAACAAACCTGGGTCCAGAGAGGAGGTTCAGAAGGTCTTCATTCCACTCTCATTCCTGGAGCGCCACCACAACACAGCCCCAAAGACAAAATATTGTTTTAATTGCTGAAGCAAGGGAACTGCCAAAAGCCTCCCAACAACGAATTATTCATTATATCCACCAGATGCTGTCAAGATGAAGATGAGGGGGCCCAGTGGGAGGCCACATGCCCCACCTCACCTCTGAGGGAGGACGACCGTTCCCCCCAGAGGAAGGGTTCTTGTCCTGAAGGTAGTGCCCAGGGGAGCTCTGAGCACAGTGGCAGAGTCTGGGTCATCTGCGAGCCCCAGGAGGGACGGACAGACACTGCAGAGAATGAATTCCCACCTGCGGAAACAAGAGGATAGATGGGCCTCAGGAACAATCATGGCAACACACATTTCCAGATTTGCGATTAATGGATAAATGACAATATAATGTTAAAAAAAAAATAAGGTCTGCTCTGAGAGAAGGATGAGGAGGAATAGGAGAGGGAAAGGGAAGGAGAAGGTGATGAAGCAAGAGGTCTGGACTGCCGGATAGAGAGCAAACGTGACCGATCACCTTCCTTGTGCCAGGCACAGGGCTAAGTAATTTAAATGAATGTATTATTTGATTTCATTCTCAAAATAGTGCAAGAGAGAGGTGATGGTCTCTGTTTTACACACAATTAAGTTGATATAGAGGTTAGATCATTTTTTGCAAGGTCAAACAACTACAATAGACATTTTAACTCGGGCGTCCTGATGCCAAAGCCCAGCCCCTACCCGTAACATCGACATCAGCATCACCTTCGTCTCTATCACCTCCATCATCACTGACGTGCCCCGGGCATCTGGGTATGCCACCGCTGTGACCATGCACGTGGTGCATGTAATGCTCACAACTCCATTTAGAAGTCAAGCAAACCGGGTCTCAGAAAAAGTTAATGTTCTCCAGACTGCACAGCTGGTAGGTGGCACCGTCCACACCCATTTGACTCCTTACTTTTTACCATGCTGATTGACTGCCTTCCACCACATCTGGGTGTACCCAATGACCCCACTTACTGGTTAATACATCATCCTACCCCTCCTGGACTTGGCCTCATCTACCAAATGAGCAGTTTGTGCTAAATGATTTAAAACTCCTTGCCAATCTGATCTGACCAAAGAATCTAATTTCAGAGTAGCGGTCAGGAGAGAATGTTTTACTTTGGGCTTGTATTTCTGAAATAACCTCTCTTCTCTCTTTCCAGGAGAGCAGTGGTAACTAACAAAAAAGCCTCGGAATCCTGTAAAATGAAATCACATGGCAAAATGCGATTATTCGGAGACAGGATAAAACAGCCCCACCTGCCTTGTGCGGTGCCCTTCACACAACTGTTGATCACAGGTACATCTTAGCATACTTTCAGAAGAGCTGATCCATTCTACCCAATCATCCAAGTGTGCAGCTTGGAGCTTAGCACAGTGACATCCCATAACCTGCACCTGGACATCCAGATGCCCTCCCCCAACTTACATACACATGATCAATTACCAGGTCTTTGATTTCATCTCTAGAATAACCAGCACTCACCATCCCATTTCCTGCCTCTGTTTATGTACTCCCTGGACTATAGCAGTAGCCTCCTAACTACCTCTGCACTCTACAGTCCACCCTCCTCAGTGCTAGTAGATCATGATTTTTAAACATAAATCCCATCATGACACTCTGTTATATAACCCTCTTAAATAATAAAATAAAAAGAATCACTGGCATATATTAAGAAGCCATTCATGGTTTGACCCTACCCTGCATGTCCAGCTTCACCTAGCTCTCATTCCATCCTGCTCTGCCCCGACAATACTAGACCACTCATGCTTCTTTGACATAGGATGAATTGCCATGCTTTTGGGTCTTTTTGTCTTCTTATGCAGACAGCTCCCCATCCTCTCCTGGACTCCTGGACTCTAGTGTCTGGAGAGCTCCTATTCGTGCTTCAAGATTCAGCTCTACTGTTAACTTCACGAAGACTGATCAACTTCACTTTCTTAGCTAGAGTTAATCACTCCTTTGCTCTCAAGCTCTAGCACTAAAGAGATAACATTTTAGGTAGTTGGTTTTGTGTTTACTGGACTGAAATATCCCAAGGGAAAAAGGAGATGCCTAAATACTGAACAGATCCTGTCTGTTAATATCCACTTAATATTAGACTATGCTATCTGCTTTGCTAGGTGAATTAATAAATACTTGAATGATTTAGCCAAATGAATTAAGTCAGAAGCCAAGGAGCATCCATCCTGGAATATTTGAGAAAAGCATTTGGCAAGGTCATTTTGCAAGAATCTATGAGGTCTAGTTAAGAAGCACACATTAAATGCTATTTGGCTCCACAGGTTGCCATAAAATTATGCAGAAAACAAAAGAATTATGTGGCCGGGACCTTTTCCAAAGGTTGCTAATAGTCTTGTGGGGAAATCAATATTCACAGCAATGAAATAATCAAAAAAGAACTCAATATACCACAAATTAAATTATGGGATTAATAAAATCCAAATCAAGACTCCAAAGGGATTTTCCAAAGGGATTTGGAAGATCAAAAACAAACAAGAGCAATCTCAGACAAAAATCCTAGCAGGTTTATGTGTGGTAATTGATAATCTGATACTAAAATTTATATGATAATGGAAAGGACCTAGTGCCTCTTCTAAGGCAATTTTGGAGAAGAACAAAGCTAGAAGGCTTATATTACCAGATAGTAAGACCTATTTTGAAGTTTTAGTAATTAAAACATTATTGTATTTACACAAGAATAAACTAATATGGAAGAAAACAGATCACAGTCCTACACATTTATGGCTGCCTGATTTATGACAGGCAAAGAATCATGTTGCCTCTCCCTTTTGTGTCTGTCTTCTTCCATTCAACTTTATGTTTGTGGCATTCATCCATATTGTTGAATCCAGCATGAAATTGTCTATGCTCATTGCTGTGTAGTGTTCTCACACTGTGTGTATCTCCAGTGTGGCGGAGAAATGACAGTTATTTTAATAAATGGTTCAGGGCCAATGGATATTTATATGGGAAAATGTATTTGGTCCCCCTTACCTCACATCACACACAAAAAATCGGTTTCAGATGGATTGTATATCTAAATGTGAAGGTTGAAACCATTAAGATTGTGTGAGAAAACCTGTTTGTGACATTGGAGAAGGCAAGGATTTCTTAAACATGTCACAAAAACTGCTAACCGGCACAGAGAAAGGTATGTAGTAGATGACATTAAAAATTTTGTGACATCATCAAAGGACACAATTAAAAGAGTTAAAAAGGCAATCTGGAAAGTAAGAGGTGATATTTGCAACATACGTACATCACAATGAACACAAATCCCAAATATATGAAGATCTCCTACAAATCAGTTAAAAAAAAAAAAAAAAAAAGCAACCCAATGAAATGAGAAGACCGAGCTAGCCAGAAGGGATATACAAAGGACCAATAAAGCTACAAAATGTGTTTAGCTTCATGAGTCATCATGGAAATGGAAATGCATACTTCAATACCTCTCACGCCAGAATGGCTCAATAAGTAAGACAGAAAATGCAAAGTGTTGACAGGAGTGTGGGTAACAGGAACTCATTTACACTGCTGGCAGGATTGTAAATTACTACAACTATTCTGGGAAACTATTTTGCAGTATCTACAGAAAACAAACATAAACCTAGTCTAAGACCCAGTAATTCTACCTCCAGGAGTAGGCAGAACAGAAGTGCACACTTACGTATGTACACTGATGAATCACATGCCTATGTTCACATATGGTACTAAGACATTCATAGCAGCATTATTTGTAGTAGACCCAAACGTGGAAATTACTGAAATGACTATCGACAGTAGAATGAATAAATAAGCCATGGCATATTCTCATAAAGGAAGATTACATAGCAATGGGCATACACAATTTAAAACTATTTTCAACAATGTGGATGAATTTCCCAAATGTAAAGTTGAAGAGGACAGACATAAAAGGGGCAGATGATATGATTCTTATTATATAAAGCTCAAAACCAATTTTTTAAAGATTTTATTTATTTATTTAAGAGAGAGAGGAAGTGAGAGAGGGAGAGAGAGAGCATGAGGGCAGGGAGGGGCAGAGAGAGGGGGAGAAGCAGGCTCCCTGCTTAACCAACTGAGCCATCCAGGTGCCCCTCAAAACCAATTTTGATCAAAGTCAACATAGTGGTCACTCTTAGAGTGGATAGTGGCTGGAAGAGAACTCAACACTGGGTGGCGCTTCTGGGATGCTGCTAATGTTCTGTTTCTTGATCTCCCTGCTCATTGGGCAAATATGGTCATTTTGTGAAAATGTATTGGTCATTCACTTAGGCAACATGTGCACCCTTCATACATGTATTG